GGGCGGTGTTATGCAAATCTTCCCACACAGTGACGTAGACATGTGGGGGCGTGTTTAAATGAGGTGTTTTAGGAGGGCGTGGACCAGTCTTAACTTTTATAAAGAATATCTCTTTGGGTTTGAGACTTTAGTCTTTGCAACTTTAGGGATCTTATCTATTCACGAACAGCTTGTAACACTCCAAAGAGAAAGGAAGACTTGAAATAGCATCATATGACCCCTTTAATAACTGATTTATTTAAAACAGGAAAAGGAGATGTAATTTAAAGGGAGATGCGAGTTTTCCTGGAGAAGCACAGCTCCATGGAGACCATTTACGGCTCAGGCAGACAGCAATGCCTTTCGGTTAAATGCTTCAAAGGAAATGTTTACACACAGAGATGAGTAAAACCGAAAGAGAAGGAAAAGTCCTTAATATGTTAGTAAAGAATGGGAACCAAGCAAGTACATGCACAAAACACCCATTCTGTAAAAATAGTGCATGACTCCAGTCTCTTGTGTCCACCTAGTCACTAATGAATAAATACAACAACAACACAAAAAACAATTTTTCCTCACAAAAGTCGGTGTACTGAAATGAGCATATTGACTCCTTTCTTCTATTGACGGCTCCATTTAAATAAAAATAAATACAATTGAAATTCTGCTGGCTGATGGGAGAATATTGGGTGGGTGATCGCAGTGCTACATGAGAATGCAAACACATAAGAGAGAGACGTATGAAAGAGAGTGCAAACATTTTGACTGTAATTATAAAATTGTAAAACTCTAATTGTAGCAAATGGAACACCAGTAACGACAGGACAGCAAATGCAACAGGATTACTTCAAAATAACGTACAGTCCTCAACTTTGCTTTATGAGTACAACTATGAGTTACTGATCGGAATCTGTAGTGTAAATACAATTAACAACTGATAATCACAAAGGCAGGAGCTTTCATGTTTTTATCATTCAGACAAACTGGCTCATCTTTTTTTTTTTTTTTTTTTTTTTTTTTTTGAGGAATATTTTAATTTTTAACATGTTAGGAAGTTGGGGGAAAATGACCAAGTGGGAAAATAAAATGTGTATTTAAAAATGTGTTGCTATTTTCTACAGTGGTCCTTTGAGGCTTAACAGAAAAAACCCTGTGCATTAGCCAGCAGCTGTTTCCTTTAACTAAGGGGACATTATTGTTTTTTTACGCTCAGAAAATAATACTAACAAAATCAAAATATTTGTAAAATTATTTTTAAAGTCAATGCTGGATCTGTGCGAATGAATGGATTCAAGTTTACCTACATGTTACCTACAAATATGCACAATATTCACAATCTCATGCCAAAATCCAGGCCTGAGGAACTCAGCAGACACATATCCATTAAACAACAGGCAAGAGAGAGACAGAGCGTCCCGTCTGTCTGTGAAAAGATGTCCCTCTATCCAAGTAGCGGCGAGGTGTTTGCATGTGATAGTTTTCTCCATGTAAATAGCCACTCCATCATTCTGACTTCCAGCGTTCATTAATTAAAATGATCACTGAAGGCACAGAGCCGATCCAAGGAGCTCCTCTCCTGTCAGTCTCTGAGAGAGCAGAGATACAGAGAGGATCAATCTGTCTGCAATACAACACCACGCCACATCACTGCAATTAGTCGAGCAGCTGGAAACGCGTTCGCAGCCTCCACACTGACAATAGAGCCCTAATGAAGGCAAAAGATGTGTGTGCGTGCATGTAATCCAACCGCCATCAATCCCAGCAGCACACTCCACGCAGCAAGTGTTTTCACAGCATTAATGAATTATTCATCCATCCTCCCCATCCATCCATCCATCCCTCCTTCCAAAGGGGGTTTCTAACAGGAGATTTCTATCACGGCAGTGCCTTCTCAACACAACGACAATTACAAAACACAATAGGCCTCTAGAACCGTATCTGTGCCGCACTGGCGCAATTAGTAATTAGTACTCTCGTAAAGCAGCCATGACGGAAACAGAGCCGTAAATGGCAGTGGGGAGTTGAAATTGTCTTATTGCATATGCCGAAAGCAACACTAAAGACCCTCCTCCGAACGTGCTTAATGTAAACCACATTTAGCGAGAATTTAACACGAGAAGGGACTTTTTATAAGCGCTTGTTAGGTGTAATTGAAATCGTTCTTCTCACCCAGTACCAGTATAAGTGCTGGGTCGCTGGCTGTAAATCTGAACCCGTTTACCAACAGAGATGATGAACGGTGGGCTAATCGTAACGCCGTTTAATACAGATGCCGACCCATTGAGTTAATGAATAAGGAAATAGATCGGAGAGCGAGC